TGGAAACTCCTTTAAAGTCTTCTAAAATTATCCGTGAATGATCTTAACCATTGGGTCACCTTGGATACTCTAGCGCGGTCTTCATACATTGATTAAACTCAGAGACCCTAAAAGTAACGAAATTGACTGAATTTATGAAGAATACATGAAAATGACAAAAATTAATAAAACAACATAAGTAACATGAAATAAACATTACTAATGTATTAAAAGATGAAAATCTAAGGGCTCGAATATGATGACCCTGTCGGCCGGTGTGCTGTGGGCGGGTGCGAGACACTGACATGCTACCACACTAGTGGGCTACTATATAGGTGTGACACTCCAATTGGTATGAGGCCTTTTGGGGTAAAGCTCAAGAGCAAAACCGTGCTGGCTCAGGCCCAAAGCGAACAAAATCATATTATGTGGTGGAGTGGGTCGTTACAAATGGTATCAGAGCCTGACCGAGCCGGAAGTGTGCCGACGGGGACGTTGGGCCTCTAAGGGGGGTGGATTGTGATGAACTTGTGGGCGGGTGCGAGACACTGATAGGCTACCACACTGGCGAGCTATGGGTACATAATCCCACATCGCCTGGGAAAAGGAAAGGTGAAGTGCTTATATGTAGGTGTGTCACTTCAATTGGTATGAGGTTTTTTGGGGTAAAGTCCAAGAGTAAAACCGTGCGGGCTGAGGCCCAAAACGGATAATATCATATTATGCGGTGGAGTGGGTCGTTACATCGAATATGCAACATTCAGTGCTTATCAGTCCATGAAAATGGCTTCTACACCAACAATGATGATATTCTTCCTCTCTATAAGTAACTAAATCATTTCTTAAGGAATTAATGTAACCCTAGTCCGTGTAGCATGATTTGATTATTCTTAACTTTGGGGATTTTTTTGGATTATATATATTGATTACATGGTTGTGAGCAATTGACTTAGTTGTACAGAGCAATTAGGTTTTTATAATTATAATCGGGTTTAATGATTATAATCAGTTTTAATGAAATTAATCTCTTGTCTTAGAATTGGTTTTAGTATAATTGACTTCAAAATTCTTTTATTGTGAGAGATTGACGACTAAGGGCTTCTCTTAATGGTAGGAGTAGTGATAATGCAATAGTGCTTAACGAATGTGTGAAAGAATGTTTTGATAATTTATGCCTTGGGAAGATGAGTTGTACTACACCCTACATTAGAGTAGTAAGGTAGACAATTCATGCCAATCGAAGATGAATTATGGCTTAGTATTTATTCATATACACCTTCTTGATTGAATTAAAGTATGTTTGTAGCCACATGATTCCCAAAAATGCATTAGTGTGAATTTTCCCATAGTTAAAGCAATTGACTATGTTATGAGGCTAAAGATGAAATCAATCCCTAAGTTCTTCTCACTTCGATCTCATCCTTTGTAAATTTAGTTTATTTTTTTATTGCAATTTAGAAATAGAAAACATCAAAATTATTAACTCAGATTACGCTCAGGGCGTACACTACTTCTGTATGATGTGCTTTATGCACCTATTGTTCGATATACTCTAGTTTCTATTTCAGCATTAGCAGGACTTGGCTTTTCTTTCAGAATAAGTGATAGACAGTTGACTATATTTTTAGATGGTGATCTTTTTGGATATGGTTTTTGATAAGAGCTGAAAAGTGCACATTTATACCCCTTAAGCTTGAATGTTCTAGGACTTTATTCTATCTTATTTTTCCCTTTTAGTCTAATTTCATGTTATTTCCCTTTTTCAGGCATGTATCCCTAAAATAAGTCAATTCAGCTGAATTAGAGCATAAAAAGAAGCAATCTCAAGCTTAGTGGAAGAAAAGAGCAAAGTGGAAGCAAAGTGTTGAAGAAGTCTTCTTCGATCGATTGAACTAAGCTCCGATCGATCACACTGTGATCGTTCCAACCATGATATGATAGATTGAGCCTTTTGTCCTTATCTTCAGGAAAATTTTCCTTTCGATCGATCTAACATTTCCTTCGATCGATTGAACACTTTTGATCTTATCCCCACCTACCATTTTTGTCATTTTCCCTAAAAATATCCCAAAAATATCTCAGCCTTGTCATTATCCAAAAAGTGTGCCGCCGTGGTTTGATCGATCCAAGCAACCTTGTGATCAATCGAACTGCCTCAAGTGCGTAAAAAATAGAGTTTTAGCCAAATAAAAGGTGTGCTCGTGGTGCAATCATTTGGAGGTCCTAGTGCACGAGGTCTGACCATTGGGTGTGACATTTGAGCTACCTCTATAAGGATTTTGGCTATTTTGAGTAAAAAGGTTTTTGATAGGTTTTGAAAAAAGGCTAGAGATTAGAGAGAGAAAATATACCATTTGGGAAGTTCTTCCACTTATCTAGGGTTTCTACCAAGAACTCAAGAGGAAGACGATGATTTCTACCATAGAGATAGCCTTTGAGGGTTGGATGATAGCATCAATGAGTGGCTAAACCATTCTCTTGGGGCTAGAGATAGCTCTAAGCATGCTTCCTAGACTTTGATGTTTTGTAATTAATATGGATTTGTGTTGTAATTCTTGTCTTGACATCTTATATATGTAAATCTTGTTTCTACAGTGATTTGTGTGGTTTAATACTTCCAATTGATCATTTAATTCTATCCATATGTCTATGTATGCTAGAATAAATGTTCATGTGTTTACCTCTAGATTTTGTGACATTAATGCAAGTCTATGTGTGTTGATATTATGAATCTAGTGATGGTCAAGGCATGGTGCTTAAATAGATTACTCTTGTGGTTTGTTTGATGGTTCATACTTATTTCTTGATAGATTGTGCCACCTTTTTAGTTTAATTAGTTTAATTTTCATGTCACTAGTTTAGTTATAGTGTAATTGCTTTACTTTCTTAGATAGGTAGACAATCCATGCTTATTGTTTGATGTTTCAGGCTTATGAATGCAAGTAGTATATTTCTCTAATTTAATGAGTGTGCATTAATTGTGGACTTATGAAAGGATTAATGGCTTAATTTGATATGTTATGCTATTCAATAGATTAGCTAGACAATGTATGCTTAATTGACCATCCATGCTTGATATTCAATTAATGGCGCACACTTTCATTTACAATACACTATCCCCCTAATCCATCGAATATTGAATGTCTAGGAAGATAATGCTTAGTGGTGAACTCTATGTCCTATGACTCCTCTCTTATATTCTCTACACCTCATATTATTTTAGTTGTTTTACATTACATTTGTTTAGTTTAAATCATAGTATAATTCAACCGTAAACCATCTTTTGATCATTCAACCTACTAATCCAACATTAATTCCAAGAATACCATTCATTTCTTTTGGGACGATCCCTACTCACTTTAGCTACATTAATAGTTAGTAGTGATAGTGGTATTCTATAAATTCAAACTTGGCCATATTACAATTCACCACTTTTGCAACTAGGTGCTCGACACACACTAAGTTTTCTTCTGAATGATTTTTATAAATTAGATTTATTTGATCATCATTCTTCATCTGATTGTTTGGCATGTAATAATTATGCTATTGATTATGTGAAATAGAATGCAAGACTTGGTAACATTGGGCATGATAAAATAGCTAGATTAGCTAAAGAAGGCGTATTGGGGTCTTTCGCTAAAGTTAGCTTACCAACATATGCATTCTGTTTGGCAAGAAATAGTTGTCAAAAGCCTTTTGGGAAGGCTACTTGTCCTTTAAAATTAGTCCATTCAGACATTTGTGCACCAATAAATGTGAAAGCACACAATGATGCTTTTTATTTTCTCACTTTTATAGATGACTGTACGCAATATGGTTATGTATATTATGGTCCTAGTACCAATTTGTGTTTGTCTCTTTAATGTCAAAACTTGGTATTTTAGACCTGTCAAACACTCGTATCATCACCATTGGTGTGCACATTGGCCTATATCATCTCTCAGGGGTAGTATAATCTTTTGCCATCTTGTGACACAATTTCACAATGGTTTAAGATAGTACATTGCAAGTATTCAGCTTGTTAAAACCTGTTTACTTTGTTAATTGAGGTTCAACATATGAAAATTGGCTACAGGAGTAGTCAGGGGTTCTGTGGTCATTTCACAATTGTATTATATGTCTATACATTTGTTCAGATAGCTGCATTGCATTGAAATGCTGTGAATTAGCCTACATTGTGAAGTCTTAGTAACAGTTTGAAGCTGAGAATAACAAGTGGCTATTACAAGGGCTATGACACTCTGTTGTGGTCCTAGAGTGAGAGTTTATACACACAGACCTTTTAATTATAAAGTCAAATTTTCAATCTGATGGTCAGATTATAAGTAAGGGTATAGTTATGATGTTGCCACTATGCAGTTTTGGTCTCCTATGATGCATTTGGAAGTTTTTGGACTTTTCTTGTGTAATGGTGAAATTGAATTTCAGATTCGATGGTCGCATCGTGAGGAAAGACAAAATTATAATTTTGCCAATATGTTCGTTTTGATGACCAGACACCAAGAGTTTCTTTGTGAATGCTTTTGTAGGTAAATCCCATGGTTTTGGACATTCCGGACATCATAGTGAATTCGAATCTTCGATCCACAATTGGATTTTCCGAAGTGGTAGGTGTCAATCTCCTATAGTTTTAACTCGAAAAGAGGGAGGGGTAAAATGGGGAGTCTACAATTATCATAAAATGTTTATATTTGATGATAAATGATATACTCTTTATCTGAAAATAATATAACTAGATTAATGATAAGTTGAGATGATTGCGAGAGCTGCTGTAGAATTACTTCTTATTAGTGCCATGAAAATGATTCTCAAATATGAGAGAGGGATGAACTCTTATATCGATCATTGGAACATATTGTCAAGATTGCAATGCTACTATGATTAGTTTAATAAATAGTTTTTATATTTATTTATTTACTAAATATATTATTTTTAAAAAATAATTTTTATGTAAAGGAGTCTTTGAATTTATTTATTTTTCGAACGGTAAATTTATTTATTTATTTTTCATCGTAACCACCTCAAACCAACGCACTCTCGGCCCAAACGCGGTGTTAGATCTTCATGTCTCTCTAGGCTCCATATCTCTCTAGATTTTCTGTGTCCGTCGGGCGTTATAGTGGTGGTAAGATAGTAGGATAGTTATTCAGATCTGCCTTATCGATCTTCACTCTTTCTCTCTGATTCGATTCGATTCGATTCATTTCGGTCGGATCACGGAAAAAATTGACCGGACTACAGCCCAAATCTGGACGAAAGGACCGTTGCTTCAATTCCAAATTGATCCGCCACAACACCTGCTTTCATCTCCTTCTTGTTTTCCTTTGCCCTAGACGCATTTCTGGCTAAACAAGCCCATGAGGTGAGTCAATTTCTGGTTTTTCTTTCCCGAATTGGTTTCTTCACACATACGTATATTCATATATAATGTATATGGGATGAAGATATGTACACACACGGATTTACACACACACACACACACACACACACACACACACATATATATATATATATATACATATGTATAAGATTTGATTTTGGTTTTTTGCCAAATTATTTAGCTTCAATTTTCATTCGAATATATTTTGACTTATTCTTGGCTTTCTCTTGTTGATTTGCAGAATTGGATTGTCTGGGTAGTTATATATATACATATGTATAAGATTTGATTTTGGTTTTTTGCCAAATTATTTAGCTTCAATTTTCATTCGAATATATTTTGACTTATTCTTGGCTTTCTCTTGTTGATTTGCAGAATTGGATTGTCTGGGTAGTTGTTGTCTGAATTACGCATTTTTTATATAAGGACCGATTAAAGATCTTGGTTTTTTGAATTGATTTTGGTTTTGGTTATCAATGGCAACTCCTGGGGGACCTAGACCCGGCAATACACCGCCTAATTATAACCCCAATTCTCTTGCTGATAATATGCAAAACCTTCAAATGAATCGCCCTACACTGCCGCCACATTCAGTGGTCAATTCAGGTGGCCCCAGGCCTCCGCCTCCTTTTGGCCAGCAACCCTCTCCATTTTCTTCATCAGCTCATCCTTCGTCTACATTTCCAGGGGCATCACCAATGGCCCCTCCTGGCCCGTCTCCACCAGGTGTCTTTCCGAGGGCTTCAGTGCCTCCTGGTGGTCCTCTGCAAGCCACATTACGCCCAAATGTGGATTCCAATAGACCCTCTGGCCCTCCTGTTAGTCGGCCTCCGCCGTTTGGGTCGAGGCCCCCACCTCCTGGGTCTTTACCCCCTTCCATGGGGAGTCCATCTGTTCCCCCTTCTGGGGTACCTCCTTCTGCTTTCCCATCTTCAGGACAAGTAGTGGCACCACTGGGTTCCCGTCCTGGCATGTCTGCATCTTCCCCTTTGATGACCCGTTCAGCCATGCCACCTTCGAGTACCCCAGGCCCAATTAGTAATGGACCGCCGATGTTTGAATCAGGGCCTTTGCAAGGTGGACCCCGTTTTCCTCCTGCTGGTGGTATGCCAGGACCACCAGTTGGACCTCCGCCATCATCAATGTTTTCGTCTGGGCCTCCTTCCCAGGTCCCAGGAATGCATCCTCTTGTTGGAAGTCCCCCTGCCAATGCATTTCCGAGTACTATGCAACCAGCCCCACCATTTTCAGCACCGCCACAAGGTGTGCCGCCACCTTCAGGTTCCTCACCATTTTCAGCACGACCACAAGGTATGCTGCCTCCCTCAGGTTCGTCACCATTTTCGGTGCCATCTCAAGGCATTTCCCCACCATCCGGTTCTCTTTATGGGCCACAGACATGGCTGACGCAGCCCCGGCAGGTGTGTTTTCAAAAACTGAAGTTTTTTGAATTGCTTTTGTATCTTCATACCTCAAATCATTCTGACATTAAGCTTATTGTAAAAGGGATGTGCCATTGCAATGATTGTGTTGGAAGCAAACTTTTTTCTGCTGTTTCTTCTTCTTGTTTCATAACGAAGGATATATGGTTTTTTTTTTTTTTTTTTTTTCTTTTTTCTTTTTTAATACTAAAACAATTTCCTATTTACTGGGTGCCTGGACTCCTTCGAAGTTTGAGTAGGAGTTTTTGATAACTTAGTAAATCAAATGAGAAAATAATTTAATTTTTCCCCATCAAATACAATAAAAAATAAAATAATTCTATCCACAAATATCGAACTAGTCCACATGTGCTTCTATAGTTCCTATCACTACAAATACTCCTAAGACATATTTTGGGTACAAGTTAGGGTTAGGGTTTTGGAGAGCATAAATCTGAGAGGAATTATACATATGTAGAGAGAGAGAGAGAGAGAGAGTACTTGATGAGATATTGACTTATCAAAAAAAAAAAAACCTGATGAGAGATGGCAGAAACAGAGAACTGATAAGTTGAGTGTGGATGCCAGAGGTCCATCGCGGTGAGAAAAGGATGGATTGAATACTTCACCGATTGATTTGCCCAGATTTAAAATCCGTATGCCAAAAATTTATCCAAATGAATTATAGAAGGATTCGGGCCTAAGATTTCAAATCCACCTGACCCAAATCCTTAAATCCAAACGTGCCCTTAAGGTTTATCTCAATTATGTAAAAGATATTTTTATAAAGATTTTGAAAGTTAAATCTAGTATAATAAGAACTGGGAAAACATTAAAATACGTTACACAAAGTTTGGTTGGAATCCAAGTCCAAATCAGTTTGAAAACTAAACTCCTAGTCCATTTCCGACTTGATGCGTTAGTGCATGAAAATTTTGTATTGGTATTTCATGCTTGCTACCAACTTATGTATTGGTATATGTCCTGTGTGTATTGGTGCACAAGGGTTACTAGAGTTCAATGCATTGGTGCATAAAAAAAAAGTACCGGTACAACAACGATCTCTTTGTCCTATTTTGAAAAACATTTGAGCACTTTTGTTTTTAACTCGTATAAATAACTAAAATAATTTTTGTGCGCAGGCGCGCGTGCGCACACGCACTCTTATTTTTTCTTAAATTTTGAGAGTCAATTCCGGTTGATCTTGAGTCAGCTTGGTTTACTTTGCACTTCAACTTCGATTAAAGAATATAAGTAGTAAATAATATATCTGGAATTGTTTTGAAATGAAATTTGCAACACTTGCACTAAAATATTCAACATATGTAATTATATGTATTCAATATTGTAGAAGGTTGATTTTTTGGTCCATCATGGTTTGTTAGCCCCACAGCTGTGGTGGACAATAACTCATCTCTTTGATAGTTTCTTGAACTTATTAGCCCGTAAAAGAGAAAAAAATACTACTGTTGCTCTCGTCACCAAATGTAACCTCATGATATTGACACCTCAACATTATGACTACAATCAGTATCACGATAATGGTGATGGATCAAAGGATGTTTAGCACCTGGAAGTCATTTAAGGTTTCGAAATTGATGTCCATCAAATTCGAAATCACCCCAAAATAACTTCATTTGCGTTGTTGTTTGTGAAATTCTGTGTGTTTTGGTGGGTAATTATACTTTTTAGTTTTGTCAAATGTAAACTTGTACGGCTTTGGCAACTTTGGATTGGAGTGCAGTAAAACTCAAGTTATATTGCATGTTATTATATATAGAACTTAATGATTTCTAATGGTAAGTATATTTATTTGGAAACCGAAAGAATGAGCAGATACATACTCTGACAATTTTCATCCCGTGCTTTTCTGTACTTCCCCCGCCTTTGCTTTCTGAATTTTGTTGGATGGATGCCTTGTACACCCTTGGGATGGTGAAGGCTAATCTTGGTGTCTCCTTGGCAACTTGGGACAAATAGGCTTTGAACTTTGTTGAACTTTTATTAAAAAAAAAAAAAAAAACTTTGTTGACCTTTTGTGAGGTTGGCTTCTAATATTGGTTTCACTTGAGGTGATTTTTTGGTTGTGATGATATGAGCTGCAACCAATGAATAAAATGTCGATGAAAAGGATATATTGCCATCTTGATGATGTGGATATGTCAATGAACTAATCATAATTGATTTTTATATTACAGTTGTGCTTCGATAGTTGTAACAAATCATGAAACATATAAATAGAACTTTGAGAAGTGTTAATAGATATACTAGTGCTTGATGTGGTGGCAAGTTATGCGAATGGAATATGTGTTTGACATAAAGGTGGTGCAGGCTATGAAAAATATGGATATATGAACGGATATTTAGCATTTGATACCAATATCACAAACATCTAATGAAGGATATTTATAACAAACCATGGAAGTTCTGAAAATAACTTCCGGAACACTTTGTAGAGAGGTTAACTTCCGCTTAGGGTGGCCTTTTTTGGATGGACAGTGGTTCTAGGGAGGATTTGACTATTGACAATCTGAGGAGGCATCAGATTATCGTCAATTGGTGTTGTATGTGCAAGAAGGATGAAGAGTCGGTTAGTCATCTTCTCTTGCATTACCTGGTAGCTCAAGATAGTTGGGCTATGCTTTTTGCTCTTTTTGGTGTCCATTGGGATATGCCAGAGTCCCCGTAGAGCTGCTTGGGGCTTGGAGAGGATGTGTAGTGAGAAGGCAAGCCCAAGCCCAAGATGCTTGGAGTCTGGCGCCCCATTGTTTATGGTCGGGGTTGTGGCGTGAACGGAATAGGCACTCTTTTGATGATGTTGAGGTTCCGATTTGGGTGCTTAAGTTTTCTATTCTTTATACTCTATTCTTTTGGGTTCAGGAATGGAATTGCAAATCAATGGGGAATATAGTGAATTTTGTAGATTCCGTCTGTATGGCGGGCCTTCTTGGTCTTGCTTTTGCTCTCGGGACACACACTCCTTTTTGAGCGCATATTATCTTACTTGCCAAAAAAAAAAAAAAAGAATAATAAAATACTGTAAAAGATAATTGTATTTGACAAATAATTTTGGTGAGTAAGACAATACAGTGTTATACCATCAAAGAAGGTTCAAATATAAATATGCATATCATAAATAGTTTTTATCGTTTCTGGTGTGTATGTGTTTGTTGGGGGCGGGGTTGTAAGTTAGCGAGCTTTTATTACTGAAAACTACTACTACATGAAACAATGAAGGAACATCACACACACAATACAAAGACAGAACTATAAACTCAGTAATGAATAGGTATGCATCATTGAACCTGCTGTCAAAAGACGCCGGCACATTCTCAGTCAATAGCAGAGACAATTGAGTCACAGTGCCTCTGAAACACAGTGGAACCTGAAGCTACAGCCATCCGAAAATGCTTCAAATATCCTAAACTACCCACAGTCTAATCAACGGCATTTACCCTTTTGCTATATCATCATCATCATCATCCTTGCCTTCATCCTGTACATATCACCAAGAAACTGAAGCTTAAAACTCTGTTGAATCCATAAATATACTATGTACTCCATGGAGTTCCAACATATTTATCAAAGGTTTTTTTTTTCCTTCCTACTTGGTACTCACACATGCATGTCTCTACTGAGATTTGAACCCCTGACCTCCCTTTGGGAAGTAAGAGGATGATACCGCTAGGCCACTGGCCCATTGGTTTATTAAGGTTCCATTTATGTCTTCTCTTGGAGGAGAAGCTGAGAAGAGAATGTTATAAAGAAAGAAAGGAATACCAAGTAAAGAAATGGTGTATTATAAGCAAGGATATAAACTATTTGAAAAAAGTTAAGGCAATATGAAAAAGTACTATAATTACCAAAAATATGTATATGAAAAAGTACTGTTTGAGGCACTGACAGTTATATATGGCGGTCCCCTGTTGCAAACTAATCTGGGAATAGTTGGATAATGTAGGATCAATTGCATGAAGAATTAAATTATTTTTATGAAACTTTGTACCATATGGGCATATTTGACAAGAAATATGCTTTTCTATTTCTGTTTTTTACTTTTCTCTTTTATGATAGACAGAGAAAGTTCCACATACCATTTCATCCTCATTGTATATCTGACATAGTTTAACTTTTTTATATTCATCATCATGAATCCATTTTTCTACTCCTTGCAGAGCTAATTCTTGTTTGTCTTTGAGGTTCTTTTATATTTTCTAACTGCTAGTTACTCTCCTTTTTTATCCACTTGTTTCTGTAGAGCTTTTACTTGAGGTTGTGAATGATACCACGGAACAGACTGCATAATCCTGGAAAAAATACAGTTTTATTCCTCTTTCAAATTTCATTTGATCTCTCTTTTGAAATTATTGGTGTACACGAATCTTTGTGGATGTGTTGGATTGCATTTCTTTTCCCACCAAATGAGAATTAGTAGGAAGTGCTTATATTTGCATTTTTTAATGCTTTGCATGAGTCAAATTTGTCTTTATCATTATTGATTATTGTTTTTCAATATTAAATGTATTTTCTACAAAAAGTTTCTATTTAAACATGGATTTGATTTTTCATCTGCAGTTGAAATTTGACAAACTTCGATGTACTTATGATGAAACATTAATGAGAAAATGGACCATTTAGGACAGCATTCCCCTCCTTGATTTCTGATTATTTGTGCTTATTTATGTAATATCACTGATATTCCTGGTTTCCATTGCAAGTGTACTCTGTGGATTTCTTTTCACTTCTTGATTTTGGATCTGATATAGTTATTTGTTTAGGTGGCTCCACCTCTACCAGTTCCTGCTTCCGCACAACCACCCAGAATGGTTGGAATGCCACCTACAGGTCCAAATCAATCTATCGCTTCTATATCACCTGCTATGGGTCATATGGGAGCCACTATGGCGGGGTCATCAAAGATTGATCCAAATCAAATTCCACGCCCAATTCCAAGTTCTTCGGTGTTACTGTATGAAACTCGTCTGGGCAATCAGGCCAACCCTCCTCCGGTATTTTATCAGACATGAACCTTATTATGAAAGGATATTACATTGTTTGATTTGAGTATTTCTAGTTTTTTGAAAATTTTTAGCATCTGTTAACCTTTACCTTTTTTGTCAGCAATGCAATGTCATTTCTGTTCACTTTAGCATACTCATGCCAACATGCGATACACACAGATGCATGCCATCATTTATAAACTGTTGCCCGTATATATCATACATTGGTGCATGTCATGTTATGATATACAATGATGAGTTTAGGAAATTCATTGTTCATTGTTTTTGTTCTTCTGTTACCATATTTTAACTGTTATTCCATAATTTTCCCCCCTTCAAGCCGGCTACAAGTGATTATATTGTCAGGGACACTGGGAATTGCAGTCCACGCTACTTGAGGTGTACCATAAATCAGGTCAAAATCAAGTACTTCAAATGCATATTGATTTTGGATTAAATGCTTTTCTTTTGTGCAGACTGGTATTGATAGTTACGGTTGCTGATTTAAAATTGGTTTCTCCTGTCATTTTAACAGATCCCATGCACGGTTGATCTTTTGACAACGTCTGGAATGCAGTTGGCTTTGTTGGTCCAACCCCTGGCCCTTCCTCATCCATCCGAGGAACCCATCCAAGTAATAGATTTATTTCTTATCTGATCTCTCTATTTTATTATGTCTTGGTAAATAGATCCAACATTAAGCCCTTGTTTGTTCATTGGAAAACTGCTTCTTACTTTTGGATGGATCCTGTCCTCTTCGGAGACCCTTTTTTTAGCTGTTTGGCTGGGGGGAATAAAATGATTCTGAATTTTTGTCCACCAGATGACTTGTTTTTGTATGCATTTTGGGGAAAGTTGTTTTTTTTGTTTTATTTTATTTTTTATTTTATAAGTAAAGTTGTATTAAGAAGTGTTCAAAGCATCCCTCAAAAACTACACAAGGCCAAATAGGGCCTCTAACTCTCAAGGAATCCAAAAAATCAACTATATCATTCATAGATATACAATTTTTCCCAGGCACCCAACAAAAAAGGGTGCTAATAATGGAGAACTTGATCCCACCAATAGGGGTGTCCTTCCATTCAAAAGATTTTCTATTTCTTTCAAGCCATAAACACCACCATTCAAAGAAAGCTCATAGTAAATTTTTGATGGCAATTAGTTGTGTATGGTGTAGTAATTGGGTTGATAGCTTGTTCTCTACTAAGTGAATAGCAAGACTGGCTGGTTTTGCCAATTGCACCTTACTCCTTCCCCAACCTGTAGAAACAAATGTTACTACAATAACCAATTAGAAAACTGTGTATTGGATCCAATATCTTGAAAATATGTGTTATTTTTTCAGCATCTTCTTCTTCTTTCTTTTTATTTTATTTATTTATTTTGTGTGTGTGTTGTTGTTTTAGATTGTAGGTTGTTTAGCCTTTACCTAACTAGTATCGGAATACCTAGTGTTGAAACTAATTTTAGTGTGAATGTTGATTAGTAGGATAAGTCAATAGAAACACATATTTTGTTCGGGTTCATTGGGTCATGCCTCGGAACTCGATAGGTTTGATTGAGGCTTGGAGAGGATGTTTAGTGGGATCCCAAGCCCGTATTTTTGGAGGGTGGCACCCTTGTGTCTTTGGCAGTGTCTTTGGAGAGAACGCAATAGAAGATCATTTGACGGCGAGGAGACTCCTATTGGGGTGTTGAAAATTTCTATTCTCAGTTCTATTATTTGTTAGGTTTCTGGGAGGAATTGTAAATATTTGGGGGAAATAGTTGATTTTTTGGACATTCTGAGAGACTAGGGGCCCTATTAGGCTCTTCTTTTGTTTTTGTGGGCCGCGTTCTCCTTTTGACGTTTTCTAATACAATAGTACTTATCAAAAGAAGGATAAGTCAGTAGAAATCATCATCATCGTCAACATCATCATCATCCTTGCCTTTATCTTGTATAAATGGGATCGGCTATATGAATTCTCCCTTTCCATTATATTCTTTTACAAGCCATATAACTTCTTGTATATAATTTTATAAAGTCATTTCTATTTACTTCATCCCAATTCCCAAGTTAGTTTTGGGCGGTCTCTCTATCACTTACCTTCAATGCAAACTGCAAACTAATCTTCCTTTTTTCACTAGTGCATCTATTGATTTACGGTGTATGTGAACTAACCACCTAAGCCTCAACTCTCTCTCTCTCTCTCTCTCTCTCCGCTAATTGGTGTTGCTCCTAATCTTTCTCTCACTTGTTGATTATTGATCCTATCTTTTTTAGTCACTCTTATCATCCATCTAAAAACTCTAGTTTCTGCTACTTGCATTCGTTGCTCTTGTTTCCTTTCTATCACTTAAAACTCTGCTTGGTATAAGATTGCTGGCCTAATAACTGTCCTATAGAATTTTCCTATTAATTTATTTGGCATTTTTAATCAGACAGAATACAACTTGCTTGTCTCCATTTTGTCTATCCTGGTAGTTACATAGTCAATCTCCCTATCTTTCTGCATTACAGATATCAAATATCAAAAATTATTTTGAATAATCCTTTGGTTTGGAATTTTTATAGGTATGTCGTCATTTTCTTAGATTTTGTTATATTTACATTCCATATATTTTTTTTCGTCTTGCTCATCCTTAAGCCTTTTACTTCTAATGCTTTTCTCGATATTTCCAATATTCTTCTTAAGGCTTCCTTCGAAGTATCCAATAGTACTATATCATCAGCAGACAACATGCACTATGAAATGTATTCTTGCATATCTTTCGTCTTTTCATCTAATACAATTGTGAATAGATACAGACTTAGCACTGATCCATGTTCTAACCTTGCTTTTATAGAAAAATCATAGTTGCTTCTTATGTGGTATGAGGTCCAGTTCTTGTCTTGTTATATCTTTCCTGAATGATCTTGTAATTTTTAAAGGGACCTGTTGTCGTTGTAACGCACACAAAATTATATCCATTTGCACTCTCATATGCCTTCTCTAAGTCTATGAAAACCATGCACAATTAATATATTATTATTTTAATTCTACAATCTTCTATTAGTTGTTTGTGATCAGGATTGTAGGATTGCATTATCCTACGATCCAAACTTATCAAGCTGATCTGGATCATATGAAAATTCACAAGGAGGTATGATCGTGGTAGGATCATTGGTGGATTGTTTAAGATCGTAGGATCTTGCCACAGGATTGTTCGAGATCGTAGGATCATTCAGGTTCATTATGCATGCGAGAAATCTGATATATATATATATTTTTAAATACTAAAAATTCTTGTAAAGTTTTTATTATTCATGTCCTTGTTTCCGTTGCCCAGCACAGTGGCACGCAGGCTTAATCGAATTCAGGGGAATTTTCTGTGGGGTGGCATTGGAGAGGAATTTAAGTTCTACCTTGTAAATTGGGAGAAAGTTTGTACCCCTATTGAAAAAGGTGGGTTGGGGATTCGCAAGCTGGAATGGGTGGATAAAGCTCTGTTGGGGAAGTGGCTGTGGAGGTTTGGGTGTGAGAGGTCTGTGTTGTGGAGGCGGATTATTGCTTGCCGCTTTAGGGAAGACCGGGGAGGATGGAAGTCTAGTGAGGTGACTCTTCCAGCGGGTTTGGGTGTTTGGAAGGGAATTCGGAGGGGTTGGGATGAGTTTTCAAAACGGATTAGGTTTAGAGTTGGGAATGGGAGTCAGGTTAGGTTTTGGAAGGATTTGTGGTGTGGGGATGTTGTGTTGGCGAGTAGATTTCCTCGTCTGTTTAGGATAGTTGTGGATAAGCATGCTATGGTTGCAGAGTATTATCGGCTTGATAACGGGAGTAACTTGGGATGTGATTTTCCGTAGAAACTTCAATGATTGGGAGCTGATGGAGATTACAGATTTAATGGGTTTATTGTTAGGCAAGTGGTGGAGTGGGAGGGCAGGGATGAAATGGTGTGGGAGGGAGGATCCAATGGGGTGTTTGAGGTAAGGTCGTTTTATCGAAGTGTCACGGAGTCTTTACGCACGGCTTTTCCTCGGAAAGCTGTTTGGAGGACTTCAGCACCAGTAAAGGTGGCTTTTTTTCACATGGATGGCGTCTCTTGGAAGCATCCTCACTCTTGATAATCTTAGGAGAAGACGCCAAATTGCTATTAATTGGTGTTTTATGTGCAAAAAGGCGGGGGAATCTGTGAACTATCTTTTGTTGCATTGCCCTATTGCATCGGATATTTGGGCCATGTTCCTGGCTATGTTTGGTGTGGATTGGGGTTGTTTCAAGGGACACAATGGGGATGTTAGAGGCTTGGAGAGGGTGGCTAGTGGTCAGACGAATTAGAGATGCTTGGAGGGTTACTCCGCTTTGTTTATGGTGGGGTCTGTGGCGTGAGAGGAATAGGAGAGCTTTTGAAGGAGTTGAGTCTCCTATTTGGGTGATTAAATCGAATATTTTACACTCTCTTTATGTTTGGGTGAACGGGAAAAGTTGTTCATCTACGGATATTCTGATGGAGTTTATGGACAACTTGTATTTGTAGTGGTGCCTATGGTGTCTTTTGATTTTGTTGTTGAGGGTTCGCTCCCCTTTTTTGTTGAGCCTTTTTTCTATTAATGAATATTTTCTTGATTACTTATCAAAATTTTTTTTTAAACATTCTATCAATAACATTAGTTGTTATAACATATATAATTAATACTTAGTAGATGATGTTACAAATTTTCTAGGTATATTTCATCAAATAGTAATTTTGTTACTATAAAACATACATTTTCATAAGGAAGAAAGAGAAATAGAAGAATCTGAACCTTGAACTTCTCCCATATAAAACCGTACTCGTAAAGTACTTGTCATTAGGGTTCAATTTTCAGAGCTACATGATAAAATATACCTACATGAACTTGTGTATAAACACATGTTCCATATGTTTGTGATAGCATATTTATTTTTCTCATGTGTAAACCTATTCTCTATATATTTAAAAATTCTTTATGTATGAATATTGTTTTAGTTTGTTTTTGCACAATTTGTAGGACTTACAATATTCGATCCAATCCTACGATCCAATCCTATGCTCCAATCCTATGGACCCGCCTTAATTGATCTAGCATGGGATCCCGATCCTAACAACCATGCTTTTTGCTAACTTATAAATAACTTCTTCACCCTCTTTTTTACCTAATTTTTTCATATAAATCATTTAATGTGTTTTCTCTAGCTTTATCTACAATCTTCGTAGCTTCATTTTTTATTTTCTTATGTTTCTCTAATTCCTCTTGTTATTTTTTTTTTTCCATATAAACTAATGTTTCTCTAAGTCCTCTTTTTATTTTTTTCCAATATAAACTAATATCTTTTGGTCTATATTTCTCTAGCTTTATTCAAAATCTTGTGTTTTCATCTAAAGTTCCTTGTAGTTCATAGGCACTTATAACATTTAGTACTCATCATCATCATCATCCTTGGCCTTAATCCCATATGAATGGGGTTGACCACATGAACTCTCTCTCTCCCCCCAATGTTTTCTATTAGATGCCATTTCACCTCTATATTTAGCTTTTTAAAGTTATTTTTAATAACCCCATCCCATGTTATCTTTGGTCGTCCTCTATTATAAGTACTCTTCCTCGTTTCATCGGCGCATCTCTAGGTCTTCGATGCATGTGTCCAAACCGTTTCTATATTTAGTATTATTTTGTCTAATACAATTTTAAAATTAACTTATTTCCTTGTCTTTTACTTCTACAACTTTATCTTTCACGTAGTGGTCTACTACTACACCTACCCCACTTCTATGAGTAATCATCACCGCCTTAATAAAAAGTGGGTATCCTTTACAATCTCCCTTTCTTTTTCCAGTTTCTTGTGTACAAGTTATGTCAGATTTCTTTCTTTTTCATTGTATCCATAAGTTCACTATATTTACTTATATTCTATGTTGCTCATATAGATTTGGCATAGTTTTACGTCAGCTGTCTGCTTGACACTAACCTACCTCAACACAGTGGGAAAGTCGAATACCTATTTTAGGGTTCATACTTAAAACATATAATATATCCATATATATAATATGATCTTAATTTTTATGGTTTGTTATCAAAACTGTGCATTAATTTCTTTCCAACTTATCAAAAGCAATCATTATGTGATTTGCAGAAACAAAAGACATACAGTTCAAACAAATGCTATCTATATGAACAAATCCAAACAAAATATAACAAATCTAGAACAAAAGATGATATAAATTTGATTTAAATGCAATTTCGTAAATACAATAATTCAAAATACACTGGCATCTAACTAAATCCGTTATACCAGAATGAATTAACTAAAAAAAATACCAAATCAATCACAAAATATAAATAAAAGACAACAGATTAAGTAGTATGAATGTGATAGGCAAATATTCAACAACACATATATTTAAATAATATGAATATGAGATATACGTGTGTGTGTGTGTGTGTGGATATATTAATTTTTAAGTGGAGGGAGGAAGACTTATCTCCCTCAACACTATCCATGTGATATGCAAAGGAGACAAGATTGTGCATGTATAGATGTTCTGATTTGCAGAAGAAATCTGTTCAATGATGGGTTAATAAAATTGGAAAGAAATAAGGACATTCAAACAGTTTCATTTCTTTTTCTGGTGAAATTGAAACATGCTTTTCTTCATCTTTATTGTCACTAGATGTTGGGATGTGTAGTCTGTGTGTTGCTATTCGGTTCTCCTTCCATTTTGTTGCTATTGGAGGTTTAGTGGGTTTCATTTCTGTCCAATTTTTCTTTAATAGAATAGCCATTTGGAAAATGAATATCCTGTTAAAGTAGTTCTAGATAAATAAAAATATATATATATTTTGAGAGGTACAAAATTATGATGAATCTTGGTTTAGTTTTCTTGATACTGTATGATTTTAAATAAATATATATTCAAGGCATTGGTAAAAATAATTAGGTTACCAACTGTTTATATATATATATATATTTTTAAGAAGCAAAAGTAAGCTACTATCATCCAGTCCCATGGCATCTTTTGGTTGTGGCGAGGTATCAGGTTCAATTATCAGTGTTCACAGAAAAGGATACAAATTTTGTTGTTTTTCAATTGACGAATTTTTTTCCCCCATCACAAAAATGATATAGTTGAGATTGGTTGGCCTTTTAGGATGGTTTATAAAGCGATGCCCCCTCCCCCTCCCCCCTCTTGACAGGGCTTGAGTAGATTATCATTGAATATACTCTTTCTAGTGGGAATGAGGGAACGGCCCAGAAAACCTTCTAATTTAAGCAGAATTTGCTTTGTTTGTTACATTGACTTTCCTTCAATTTGAGGTTTTTTTCATCTGCTGTCTTGATTTGGTAGAAATTGTCAGTCTATTACTGTTTTTTGTGATCCTTCTCTGGGGTTAAGTCCTCAGGTGATTGCTTTAGCTTGAAATTATATGGAAAAAAGAGATCATTGTTAATAGTGCGATTTCTTTCATATGACATTTATAACTTTTATAGGTCGTGGATTTTGGGGAAAGTGGTCCTGTTCGATGTTCTCGTTGCAAAGGCTACATAAATCCTTTCATGAAGTTTATTGATCAGGGAAGGCGTTTCATCTGTAACTTGTGCGGTGAGTATAAATAATGGAAAATTTTCCTGTCCATCTACAACTCTCATAATTTAGTATATTATTATATTTTTCTTTAGGCTTCATTGTTTTCAAGACTATCTTATTATTAATGTTAATTTTCTTTATACATTGTTGAATTTGTTAAACTTTATTGGATTTGATGCATATTATTAAAATCTTGTAGTTGCATCCTAAACTTTGTTTGGTATGAAGGCTGGTAAATTTGTAGGGAGGAAAAGTTAGGAGGGATAGGAGACGTATTTTAGGGAAATGATGAAGCCTTTACCTTGTACATGTTGTTTGGTTAAGTAAAAATGAAATGAAGAATGAAGGGAATGACTAATCCTTGATCTGACAATTATTCCACTCCGCTGTTAAACAGTAAAAATGTAAAAAAATTAGAGATGTTTCTCTTTTTTCTTTCTTCCCACTTTTTGAAGGATGCAATTGCCTGGAGGGAATGGGCTTTCCTCCACCCTTTATTTCCCTTTCCCTCTTCACCTCCTACTAAACGAAGAAAAGACCTTAGTTCCTCTCCCCCTTTTATTCTTTCTTGCATTTTTCTTTGGCACCATATAGGCTATCACAGAAATAGAACTCCTAGTTTTGTGTCAAAGGTCTCCTAATGTCATCTCATCAGTCCTTAAATTTAGGAGTTTATGGATTTTAGCATTCCTGTAGTTTTTGGCATTAATCTCCATAAATTTTCTTGCAAATTGCATTAGTCTGAATAACACGTTTTTGGCTGTATTTTTTGCTCTGAACATTAATGATGCAGCTATTGTGAATCTGACTTTGTATCACTTGCCATTTGTTTTGCAGGTTTTACGGATGAAACTCCCCGTGACTACCACTGCAATTTAGGTCCAGATGGTAGACGCAGAGATGCTGATGACAGGCCTGAGCTATGCAGAGGAACGGTTGAATTTGTTGCTACAAAGGAATACATGGTTAGTAACCTATCAGGTTTGCAGGACATATACTAAGTTTTCATTTGTTCTGATCATTATATTTATCTCAGGCGATGCATAAGGCACTTGATATGATTAACGTGTTGCCTTGTTGGTCTCTGCGTAACATGAAACTTATGTTCTCTCCCAAACCAGCACTTCCCACATCTGTGGGAAAACTAGTTGTATATGAATTTAGAATTTGATTGGTTTGTGATGAATATTCTATACACAGGCTGAGCATCTTTTGGCAAGATTAATTTTTCTTATCTTGTTTCATGCACAGACAATTTATGGATTGTTGTCTAGTTTTCTGGCAGGACTTATGGTCAAACTCATAATTATTGTTTATTAATGGCGGAAGGCACACAAAGACGCCAAGGTCTCCTAGAGTCTAAGCGCAACGTAAGGCCCGAGCCTTATCGAAGTAAGGCGGGTGTGTAATAAGCATGAATATTAAATTTAAATATAGAAAAAAAAAAATTGCAACACAAACTAGTCAAGATTAAGGAAATTATTCTGGAGGGTGGCACCCTTATGTGTTTGGTGGTGTTTATGGAGCGGAATAGAAGATCCTTTGACGAAGAGGAATCTTCTATTGGGGTTTTAAAATTTCTTATTGTAAGCTCTCTTTTTTGTTGGGTTATGGGGAATTATTGTAAATCTATAGAGGAGATAGTTGACTTTTTGGGTCCCTAGGATCCCTTTTGGCCTCGGCCTTGTGTAACTTTTGTGATGCATTCCCTTTTGAAAACTTTCTAATACATATTTAATTATCAACAAAAAAAAAAAAAAAAAAAAAAAAAAAAAGATTTTAGGAAAATTTTCAAAAAGATTAAGGAAAAATTTCAGCCATATTAATTCAAAGGTAAATCAATATGCATACGGAGTATATCCTTTCTGTTTGCATATGAATGCCATTTAATTACTGTACATGAACTACAATTCAAAATGCGCAACACAATTGATCTAAAGTTTTTTAAAGATGGAACTTGCGACATATAAACTTAGAGGGTCTAGTAAATCAATGCTTATAAAAAAAGGTAGATCAATGCTCATATATCTTCGATATGCATATGCATTAACTAAATAAAAAAATACTAGAACAAATATATTAATTAAAATATAAAAACAATTTTGTAGATTTTTAACATATGATTTGTTATCACGAAAGTTAAAAATAAAGAATTAGACGCAATCTAAGAAGCATGGACATAGACATGATACGACACGGATACGCCGACACGTCAATTCTGAAAAATAATGACACAGACACGGGCACAAACATGGTGTTGACACGGCTAATATAAATATAAATATAAATATATATATATATCTAATGAGTAAGACAATAATTGAACATTAATTAATTTATAATTTCTATATTAAAGTTACACAAGTTAGAACTTGAATCTATTCGAATATCAAAAACAATATATATCTTGTCATTATAATGATGCTTCTTATTTACATATTTTGTCATTATAATGATGCACTCTAGGGCCTGGCGTGTAGTAGGTTGAGGCACTCTAGCGGCCTGGCGCCCTGGCGTGTAGTGAGGTACTCCGGCTGAGCCTTGATGAGCCTGAGGCTTTTTGTGGTCTAGGCGCGCCTTTAACAACTTGGTTGAACTAGTTGCACCGTTTGGGTTGCATTTATCAGTGGAAATACTCTGTTTAACATTTGTCAATGTCATGTTTTCCTGAGATTAGCTTTCTTTTTGTTGTGAGTTCATCATCTGATGTGTTCTATCAATGTTCTTACTAGTTTTTCTTGCCTTTAATGTGCTAAAAGGATATCTGATTCTTCCCATTCTTCTCTTTTTACCAGGTCCGTGATCCAATGCCTGCTGTGTTTTTCTTTCTCATTGATGTATCCATGAATGCCATACAGACTGGTGCAACTGCTGCAGCTTGCAGTGCAATCAACCAAGTCATTGCTGATCTTCCTGTAAGTAGCATGTCTGTTTATTGGAACATTTGGCTATTTCCTTGTTAAAGAGCCTACTAGTACCTTAGATTCCATGATCTATGTGAATTGTTGATTCCCTATAGATTTGCATGTTTCCCAGGTTAACTCATAATAAAAATTTCTTATGAATCTTGTACGTAATAATGTGGAGTATATGATTGAATAAATGAAAGAGAGACGCGCGGGGAAAAACAGCAGAGAATTGTAAGTGAACTGCAGAGAGAATGGCATGGGATATGTCTCTCAGTAGGCAGGGCTCTATTTTTATTTGTAATGCCTAGAGCTGATCAAACCTAGCTCTCGAATTCATTTGAGCAGTTAAGGAAAGTGAACTGCAGAAAAGATGGTCTGGGATATAGCTGATGAAACCTTAGCTCCTTTTGAATTTATTTTTCAGCAGTTAAGCTAAGCGAACTGCAGAAAAAATGGTATGCGATACATCTCTCACAAGCGAGTGTTTTAAATGTATGAGCAATTATCTAGAGCTGATCAAACCTAGCTTTTGAATTAATTTGAGCAGTTAAGGAGTAGGCTTAGTTTTTTACGTCCGTCATAAGCAGATTGTGAATGGAACAACTTCAGACTATATCATTTGCCACCAGTTATTTTTATCTCCAAAGTAAGAAGTGTCATGCATTATTGTCACCATCCTGCATGCCATTTAATATTTAATTTGCATTCTTGGTGTTTTTTTATCAAACAAGTTCAGTGGAACATATGTCAATTGTCTACATGTAGTTTACATGCATGACATGAAAAAAGAAGTTTAATGTCTAAATCGTCAATCATTATTGTAGTTTGTTGTAGTTGCATTTCATATGATACAATGTGATGGTCTTACACTGCCTCTCACAGAAAGCTTGCATTCACTCATGTTTTGTCATTGTTATATCAAATGTTCAACGCATTAAGAAAGAGCGACTTAAGTTGATTATTATCCATCACATACATAGTCTTTGCTCATGCTGGTGTAACGAGTCCCCTATTGGTATATAAACCAGTTTTCCTTATTTAAACCTTTTTTCTTGGAATGCATTCTTCTTAGTGTTTAGTGGATTCATTCTTCTTGTGCAGCCTTTTGGTTGTCTGGATTTTGTAAGTGATTGTATGCTCTTCATTCGTTGTCTTTTTTCTTCATTCGTCTTTGATTTGTGAGACCCGTGTCCTCTTGTAGCCCTATCGTGAACTATCAGGACCCATCTGGGCCATCCCACACTGTGCAGATACTGTTCTTGTTGGGACCCAGCGTCCTCTATGGCGTGACCCTCATGGACTGGGAATTGGCTCTGATTTGGCAGGACTCGCCCCATATTTTGGAAATATTGTTTTACACAAATTTCATTATATTTGCAATATGAAATTATCTCTAAACATGAAGTCATGAATCCCTGCCAAAAAAAAAATAAAATCCCATATTCACCATATTACACAATTCCATATACATTTTTTTGCATGTATATACATCTAAATTTTTTATTTTTTTATCATTAGCTCTCTCTTTTTTTGGGTTTCGGGTTAGATATTGTACATCTTTAGAGGAGACAGTTGATTGTTTGGGTTCCTTGGGTCCTCAGGGTCCCTTGCGGCGTTTGTGTAGTTCTTGGGACACGTCCCCTTTTGAACGCTTTCTAATTCATTTTTACTTATAAAAATAATAATAATTATAATAAAACTAAATTCTACATATTACTAAGACATAGGAATCTTTATAAATCAGTAGAATACCACTTACCTGACTCTTACAGATTGTGGATTAATTTGATATATTAATTAGCCTCTCTCCAGTCTTCTTCTTTTTCCAAGGCTATGGCGAATATGATGATACCCTAATTATATTTTTCTCAAACTTATATGCTAGTGATATTTTTACTTTGTCAGGTTACAGGTTTGCATTATATTTAATTTCTTTTATCCTTATAGGGAATAGTAGGCTATCCCTTACTATTATTTTAAATTCAGTTAGAATTGTTTTATCATTTTACAATTTTACCCTTAGAATAAATTCTTACTTACCTTTTAAATTTAAGGTTATTACTTCTAGCCTCCTTAAAATAAAATTCGTCCTTGAAATTTGTGTACAAATACAGATATTTTCCCTCATTTCAGACTCGATCTCCCAAGAAGCATCATCCTCCTTGTTATGGCTCCACAAATCTTTCACTAAAGCTATCTCTTCGTGTGTCAATTGTTTAACCATCCGATTAATAATGCATTTAGGCACCTCGACATATGATGCATCTAGATGTGACCACCACCATGTCATGATCAATTAAATTTAAATCATATCTGAGACACTTCCTCAGAATAGACATGTGGAATATGTTCATCAACTGCCGACAAACTAGGAGGTAGAGCAAGCCTGTAAGCAACACTCCCTATCTTCTCAGTAATCTGAAATGGCTCAATGAATCTTGATGCTAACTTCCTCTTCTAATACTCGAATCTCACAACTCCTCTCATAGGTGAGACTTTTAGGAACACAGCCTCTAACACTAAACTCAGTCAGTCTTTTGTGTTGATTGACATAACTATTATGACGATCCCGAGGCTTACATGAGATAGAGAACTCAGACGAAGTTTCCAAAAGCATCCATTCTCCAATCATCATAAAGGCTCAATGCTTCCGTCACCACAGTAGCCTTGCTGAATGATACTGAATATTTGCTCATTAAGGAGGCACTCTAGGTACACGGTGCATCCTGGTGGAACTAAGATGTACCGTGATCCTAAGAGGCAGTTGCAGGGTTCGTGTATAAATGCCTCGTATGCCAACAAGTGAAGGCTGAGTACCAGAAGCCAAGAGGAACCTTACAGCCATTGCCTATTGCTAAGTGGAAATGGGAACGTGTGATTATTGATTTTGCGGCCGGCTTTCCAAAATATCTCAAAATCATGATATAGTGTGGGTTATTGTGGATCGTTTAATGAAGTAGACTTTATATTCGGGAGATAAGACTTCATGGTTTTCCCATTTTTTTAGATAGAGACCCTCGTTTCACATCACAGTTTTGGAGGAGTTTTCAAAGAGCTATGGGAACCACTCTGAATTTGTGTAATGCTTTACACCTAGACTGATGGGTAGTTAGAGGTGGGTTACCAAATATTAGAGGATATGTTGTGAGTTTGTGTCCTAGATTTTAGAGGTTCATGGTAGGATCACGTATTGTGTGTTGAGTTTGCATATAATAACAAATATCAGGCTATAGATAGTGCATGGGACAATAGAGAAGGTGATGATGATTCCGGAGCGATTGCATACAATGCAATGTCGTCAAAAGGGTTATTCCGATCGACAAAGGAGACTGATTGAGTTTTGTGATAGAGAATATGTCTCACCCATGAGAGGAGTTGTGGGATTCGGGTATTGGAAGGGGAAGTTAGCATCGAGATTAATGGGGCCATTTCAGATTATTGAGACGATAGGTAGTGTGGCTTACAAGCTTGCTCTACAACTAGTTTGTTGGCAGTTTATGATGTATTCCACATGTTTATTCTGAGGAAGTATTTAGAGATGATTTGCATGTGATTGATCACGACACTATGGAGTTACATTCGGATGCATCATATGTTAAGGTGCCTGAGTTGATTACTGATTGGATGGTTAAGCAATTGCGACGCAAGGAGATAGCTTTAGTGATAGTGCTGTGGACCCATCACACGGAGGATGAAGCTTCTTGGGAGATCTAGTCCGAAATGAAGGAAAAATATATGCATTTGTTTGAAGTAGGTACACAAATCTTGAGGACGACTTTTATTTTAAGGAGGGTAAAATGTAATAACCTTAAATTAAAGAAGGTAAATAAGAATTTGATTTAAGGGTAATATTGTAAAATGATACTGTAATTATAAGTGAATTAAAAATAATACTAAGAGAGCCTACTCTATTCCCCACAAGGATTAAAGAAACTGAATATAATGCAACTCTGTAATTAACCAAAGGGAAAATATCATTAGTAAATAATTTTGAGAAAATTATAATTAGGGTTATTGTCATATTCTCTGCAGCCTTGGAAAAGAAGAAGACCACTAGGAGAGGCTAATTAATCTATCATTAATCAACAATCAAGAGAATCAGGTAAGTGGTTTTCTACTGATTTACAAGGATTTATATGTCCTAGTAATATATAGAATTTAGTTAAAATTAGTTTAATAAATATGTATATACATGCAAAAAAATATGTACACGGGATTGTGTAATCTGATGAATATGGGATTTTTATTTGAAACATGTTTAAATGATTCATGACTACATGTTTAGAGCTAATTTCAGATTGCAAATATAATGAAATTTGTGTAGAAAAATATCTACACAGCATGAGGCAATTCCCGATAGATGGTTTCAGAACCAATTCTCAATTGTAATATGAGGGAGTGTGCACAAGCCCATGAGGGTCACGCTAGTGAGGACGCTGGGTCCTGAGAGGGGATGTTTGTGACGTCCCACATTTGGGGAAAGAAGTTGTTGACTCTTATGAGGGGGGATGCCTCCTACCTGTGCAGATGCGTTTTGAAAACTGTGAGAGCTTTAAAGCGGACAATATCTAGATAGCATGGATGGGTCTTGACATTTACTCTCTCTCTCTCTCTCTCTCTATATATATATATATTTCATTTAAAAAAAAAAATCGGAGCAAAAAAATGATTGTTGAGTTGAATCTTCATAAAGTAATGCACTTTTTTTGCAGAATTTTTTGGGAGTAAAGAATTCTACTTTAGTCATTTGTTGGGACTAGAGTTTATCTTCTCAAGAAGATGCTCATTGGATCCATTTTATCGTTCATCCTTCTTAGGGCCTGCGATGATAATTCCTCTTAAGGACTTATGACACCTTCTTGACCTTTGTTTGCTCTCTTAGGGAACCCTTCTGTGAGTGTGAGCTGGGTGAAGTAAATTCTGGAGAGTTCAACAGATCTTTTGGGTTTGATTTGATGTGGTTCATTTTGCTTTGGGAAGAGATAGGTATTTATGATTGATGTAGTTTTGGCAATGGGGAAGCGACTTTCATTAATAGAAAAACAGCGCAGCTGTAAAAGAAATTTTAAAATAGGAGCTTCTTACATAATACTTGCTAGAAGTTGTAAATGAAATGAGATATGATGACAGTTTTAACAAATAAAAGTAGGGAGGAGGAGGTGGATGACTGTTACTTGATGAAATTATCTAAGTAGCTGGAGAATCTGTGTTCATTTCACACCCCATGACTTTGTTTTTGACATGTTTCTATCTTTTTGTCTCTTGGTAAGTTTTACACATGTTTCTGTAGTGTTGAATCTGTAGCTTGAATATTTGTCATCAGAAGTGGTCGGGTGGATAAGGAGAATGATGATATTTGGTAAGTTTGTGGGAAGAAATGGTTCCATGAATGTCTTGTTTTATGGTGTTTGTTGTACATGGTACAATGTGGTGGTTGTTACATTTTAGAGGCTTTAAAGATTGAAAGCATATGGTGGAACAGTTTGATATTTGGGAGGCAAAGGAGTGAAAAGCTAATCTTCTTGAGTTTATAGTTATGTAAATGGAACAATTTGTAGAAATTAGTTTGTAAGGGCATCTAGGAACGCTGCTATGTTTGGAGTCCTCAAGGTAGCACTCTTGTTGTAGAGGACTTTTAAATTTTCTAAGCACATGTGGTGTGATATTGTGGCCCGAATTTGGTGCTAGGTCGCGTTGCGACCCGCTTATAACCCAACAACCCGTTGGATTTTTTGCTCATGGGTCATGGACCCTAATTAGTCTCTTGTAGCCTAATATATAAGGGCGCTTAGGGTTTGGAGTGGGGTAAGAGAGAGACTCTGAAATTCGTACAGAAATAGAGCGAGGGGCTGAAAACTTGTAATCTCCGATTTGACACATAGTGAAAACTTTCACCGGATCTCAACCGTGGATGTAGGCTGTTGCCGAACCATGTAGAAATCTTTGTGTTCTTTGTGCGGCTTACTTTTCTATCGTGATTCTTGATTCAACTTGGGTTTGTTGCGTTTGTCATAACATGTGGAATTGTTTGGGGTTGAAACAGTATCAATATTACCCAATGGAATGTTTTATATATTATAAGGTATGCTTGAAATTTTATTTCTTATTGGGTTCCGAGGCTCTTTTTGGAAATTTATATTTAGAAATTCTACTGTGGCCTATTTTTGGTATGCTGGCCATAGAACAAAAGTTGCATCTCAGAGCATGATCATAGGTCCCCAAAATTATTTAAAAAATGAATTTAAGATAGTTTTTTTTTTTTTTTTAAATAGTTACGTGAATGTAAACAATTTTAAGGTAGTTTTCCTTTTCACGTTAGTGTGACGTGTAAGGGGTTTCTTTGGCTTTTATCTTATTGTTAGAAGGATGTATGCCTCCTCATTCATTATCTCCCTTAACCTTCTATCATATATGAGTTGCCTTCTCAGGCAGTTATGCTAAATTTAGTTTTACGTCACAGGAAGTGATGACGCTCTTCTGGATGAAATGGTAATTGATACCTTCTAATTGCTTTCCCAAGCACTTTGAGGTTGGCATTTTTATTTTTGCATGTAAGAAGATTACACAAACACCCATTTGTCCCACTGGGGATTCGAACCCTCAACCTTCCATTTGGAATGAGGAGATACCACTTGGGCTTAAAGCCTTTAGTTGAGTTGGCTGTTTCTGGCTGGACATATATATGTCCACTTTTTGGAGCAGCATATATCCGTGTTCTGAAAGGAACTTCCCAAGTGAGATTAGTGGTTTTCCCCTATTATATTATCCTTTATCTGAATAAGGATTTACCCCTTGTAAATCTTGCTTGTTAAAATCTCTTGGCATGGTTGCTCCTTGTGTACTTTTTTTGGGATGCATTCACCTGTTTGGCATGTACTTGCTGGAGTTTGATTTTCATGTGTGCTCAATTTGAAATACTTTCTATTTATCAATCTATGCATCCCACTAGTACTACCATTTATGCCCACCGCAGCTACTTGAGTGTGGTGTCTCTTACTTGACTCATTCAGTATTTTAAAGTACAAAGGCTATGTTTGTACTCTTACGGAACTTGTAAAAGAGATTGCTTTAGTCACTGATATCAAAATGATTTCGTTTTTGCAGGAGGGTCCTCGGACAATGGTCGGTGTTGCTACATTTGACTCAACCATCCATTTCTACAATCTGAAACGTGCATCGCAGCAGGTCGGTGTTCAGTTGCAACATTTTTGGTTTCACTTACGGTGGTTAAGTTGAAAACCAATTTTATGTTTCTAACTTTCTAGTTAGATCCCTGATCTTTTGAAATTTGTAATTTTTCGGGATTTACAGTAGTTAATTTCTTGTGTCATCTTGTCTGCTATGATGTGTATTCTTATGCTCTTCTGCTGTGAGGAATAATTTTAATGGTTTTTTTTTTTTTCCTTTTCTTTTGGTAAATCATATGAAAGTTCTGTTTTTGATGTATTATATTTCAAATTGGTCTGGGCGAAATTGTTGAGGATAATATGCAATCCTATGTTCTAATTTCAGGTTCATGTTGCCATGCAACAGAGCTGAAAAACCAATTGAATTTTGTTTAAACAAATTGTGATGGATCCTCATTTTTGATGTTAAATCTATGTGCACAGCCGTTGATGCTGATAGTTCCCGATGTGCAAGATGTTTACACTCCTCTCTATACCGATGTTATTGTTCCATTTGCTGAGGTCAGCTTTGCTAATTTTGAATTTCTAGTTTTTCACATTTTAGTAAATTCTTTTATAATGATTGTTTTCTTCCTTCAAGAAATTTTCAAATGATTTTGAATGAGTTGATTGTTTGTTTTGGGATTCAGTGCCGTCAACATTTAGAACTGCTGCTGGAGAACATCCCAACCATGTTTCATAATAATAAAACTGCTGATTCAGCCTTTGGTGCGGCAATCAAGGTATGCAATTTAGTCGACACTTTAATAGTCGATAATCGCGTGAGACAGACGTATTATTATTACTAAAAAAATTTCACTTTGAATTGTGTAACCAAAAACTTTGTGCCTCAACTAATTTTTTTAGATTTTCACCAAGAATGGTAAAACCGTATTTTGTGCAATTAGCAATAAAATTTTGTAGCTTTTTAAATTTTTGATTCAGTTATTGTTGACTAGGTAGGCAGCTTGTTAAATGGAGATGGATGGTGAAACTTCCATAGTTCAAGACACACCATACATATTTGTTATGTTTATTTCTATTTAAATAGTATATGATGTCAGACGATTTTGTTCAAGAAATGATTAATTATTCCTTAACATGATAGTCATCCACTCGATTCAATGGAGGAGGGTGTGAGTTAACAGTGGGAGCACTTACTGCATGCACACAATCATTCACACCCTTGGTGAACTCAGTGAAGCCTTAACCCAATTGCTCTGGGTGGCTTTACAATATTTTTTTGCCATTTGGCCCTATTTTTGGAGCATGTTCTCATTTTTAAAAAAATTGCTATATTGTATGCAATTGATTAATAAGATGTAAAATCTTAGTGATCATTGTGATACACTAATATTGAAGTCAAAATCTGTAGTGGATGTACTGTCCCAAAAGCAAAAGGTGTCAACTGAAACATTCGGGGAGCATATATATGAAAACGGCAGAAAAATAGAAGAAAATAAAGAACTCAATTTAGAGTTGTGAACATTGTTTTTGTTCAATTGATGTAAAAGAGTTTGATTTAATTTTTCTGTGAAGAGCTACATGTCATCATGCCTTCCATGCATGACATCGTCAAGACTTATTTGGTGTGTATGGAAGCAAGAAGAAGAAACTGAATTTATGAGGGTGAAATAGGAGGAGACACTCTATCAGGGACTGGGTTTTGGTTTTGGAGGGATCGGGTGTAGATGTTGGGAAGGGGGAAGTTGAAAAATAATATGCAGTTTTTAGTCTGGCAAGCTCAATCATAAATGAGCTGAGATACTCGTGGTTTTGTGGAAAATTGTGTCTTGCCATGATAAAAAATGTTAGATAATTGAAGTGCTATTATTACATATGAGATGTGCTGCCACAGCAGAGATGCTAGAAGTTGAAATGTCTGATATAATCATTTTGATATTGCAAATTGCAATACTATAATCTTGAACTAGAACATGCATTTGTGCTGCAGCAGCAACAACAACTACATCCAAGCCTTTTTCCCAACTACTTGGGGTTGGCTACATGAGTCCTATGATTTCCGAACACACATTTGTGTTATGGATTTAATTTTTTAATTATTTTTCTTGCTTATAGTTTGTAGATTCCATCTAATAAGGAGAAATTATGGAATTCCATGATACCTGATATATACACATGCATACAGATGGATGTATATTGAACCAATCATTGGATGCATTGATATTTATATCATTTTGTTACTTCAGGCTGCTTTTTTGGCAATGAAGATTACTGGAGGGAAACTCCTAGTATTTCAGTCAGGCAAGCTCGTGAACTGATATCTCTAATTTGAGTGCATTTGGAGTAAAAAACTATGATATTGTTGATGCGTACTTGTTTTATGTTTGCATGCTTTTTTCAGTTCTATTTTGCTTGTTTCTGCTTTTCTTTTAAGTGCAAAGAAAGTCTGTACTTCCAATTATTCATAAATACTGTTGGATGCAAATTTGGAGATGGATACATTGTTCATGTTCAACCATTATTATGATGGTGACGTATATGATTCAATTTAGTAGCCAAGAACTAAATATATCTTGATTTTCAAGTTTAAAGAAGTAGGATTTCTTGAGGAATGAAAACAAATGGATTGAGATATAAATGTGGAATATAAAGCAGCACTGGTTTCTTTGGGTGAGGCATAATGCCCAGACCGTGCCATGAGATATATATATCAAACAAATAGGGGAAACTTGTGGATTCTGTGCATGAACTTCTAATATTTGAGTTCTAGAGTAAATTCTGATCTTGAAACTCGATGTAGTATTAGTGTGGAAACAGAAAGTAGGCTACATGGAGCACTTCTGAATTGATAGATTAGATTTTGATGGTTTAAGTGATGTAATTTCTTGAAATAATATCCTGGGTTGCATGCGATACAAACTTACATTTATAGCCATGTGTACTTTGTTTTGTTTTATGTTCATCATTCTTTTGTTCTTTTACTCTATGTGGCATACCACCTTCTCTTTCAGTTCCCACATACTGAAATGGTTCTTGTTCCACGTAATGTAGCTTCAACCCTCAAGGATGCTATAATTCTTTTATATGCATTTATAATTGGCAGATATCTTCTACCTTCCGTTTTTCTATTTTTTGGAGAAGATGTTAGTTATGTTAACGAAATAGGAAAAATAATAGACAAAGGAAGTGCTAAACCAGAGGCCGCAAGGACTACAATCACCGACAATGGTATAAGTGTGCCTCTAACCTGCACAACTGAAACCATGGCATTGATGATTGAAGCTAGTGAATTTGAAAAGAGTCCACAGGTTTAGATAGGCCTTTGTTTGATGGACTCAGGTAGTGTAGGTATGTGTCTAGGAATCGAATGTTTTTGAAATTTAATTGCTAAGACATGAGATATGGTTAAATTATGATGAGTTCTGTGGTTTCTTATTTACACGCTAGGGTGAACTGAACAGTTTATGTACATAACTTGTTCTTCGTGGAAAAGTAACTCGTTTCTTGACACTAATGTCTGATAAAACATAATGGGCATTATTATTTGATTTGATTTGATTTTGATATATATATATATTGTGTGCCAATAGAAGATGCATTTTCCTCTTATATCAAACGCACAGATTGTGGATGTGTCAAAAGCAGGCATTGCTTTAGCTATGTCAAAAACAAGCTTCTTCTTATTTTTTTTCTCTGTATTTTTATTTTATGTTTTTTCACATATGCCACACCCTATCCTCCCCTACAATTTTTTTTATCTTAACATGGATACATTCATGTTTTAAATTGTTTATTTAAAATAGCAATACCACGATAAGCATGTAAACATAATATAACTTTAAGTTAGATCCATGAAATTTACAATACGTGTTCCATTATCGATGATCAATAGCTACCAAACTTACAAGGACAGCCTATTCTGGTTCCCAGTAAAGGAGCCCATATTAGCAACATTACATCCTCTTTTTTGTTTGGTAGTTTCAATCTTGCACTTCATGTCATTTAATATATTTAAAAAAATTCTTTTATCCAAATAACCTCTTATTGAAGTGTGTATCAATTCACATGATTGTGCTGTAAGTTTAATTTGCCTTATGGTTGTTCTACATGAAATGGATGTGTGTGAGTATTTTGTAATGCATGGAGTCCAAAAGAAGGAAGATGTCTCAGATGGGGTAGGATCTTGTAGTAGAAGCTTATAAGGTAAAGGAAATCTCTCAATGATTGTACTGAAAGTTGCTGTGTGGTTGCTAGAGTCTAAACCTATATGTTTTATTTTATTTTATTTTTTTTGCTTGGTTCTAACTTTGAGCATGTAAAACTTGAAAATACACCCATATTCAATTGTTCAAGTTTCCTTGGAATGTAAGAATCCAAACCTTGGCATCAGAAATGTGTTCATGTTGATTCTACTTTGACTTTGAAAATATGTATTATCATGCTATGAGTTAAATTGAATCCAGCCTGAAAACTTATTTTATTTATTTCTGTTACTTGTACATTGTATTGGCAATCTCCTCGACTTTTCTTAGTACTTCTCTTCGCTTGCCATGTAATGCCATTTATGTGTTTGCTTGGTATTTCTAATTTTTTGGGGATCTTTTAGATCCTTTAACCTACTGATAAACAGAATTAATGGCTCTTCTGATTCTTGTACTACATTGTCTACAGTCTTGCCATCAGTTGGCATTGGAGCCCTTTCTGCTAGAGAGGCTGAAGGAAGAACAAACATCTCCACAGGGGAGAAGGTATACATATTGATTATATATTTGTCCAGCATATATTGGTCGTGTTTGAGTTTGCTGTTGCATTAGTCTTACTTTTCTGATCTGTGTGAAGTAGTGGAAGTAGGCCCATTTAGTAGATTGGTCCTACTTTTGAGGCCATACATACTCTATTGATGTGCCATCTGTCTTATTCCTTCTCTCTTTTTTTTAATATATATGGATCTAGTTTTTGTTATTTTGGTGCTTCTACAGCTTTCATTGGGAAGATGACATCAATTAGTTCAAAGGTAAATTAGTACTGTTGTTTATATGATTAAGTGATCTGTTTATTATTGAGTTTCAGGAAGTCCATAAATTACTCCAACCAGTGGACAAAACTTTAAAGACAATGGCTGTTGAACTTGCCGAGTACCAGGTGACATTTGGATTTTTTTATTTTTTATTTTCTTGATTAATTATGATGCTGAAACCTCATCATGATTGTTTGTTGGGATCTATGATGGAATTTTTTTATCTTTTTTTATTTTATTTTTTGATAAGTTTTAGAACTTGTATTAAACCAATGCTAATTCTTTATATCAACATATTCAGGTCTGTGTTGATGTATTCATTACTACTCAAACTTATGTAGATGTTGCTTCTATCTCTGCCATCCCAAGAACTACTGGAGGCCAGGTATTTGCAATGACACACTTAGATTTTCAATGACACATTTACTGTTATGTCATGTGTTGTAATTTATATTGTGGATTGTTTGTCCTCAAGCTTCCATCCCAAGTCCTAACAACTATTTTTGTAAAGCATATTGCGTATTTATTTATTGTGAGCGATCCTTTCATGGTACTGTCTGCAGTGCAAAAATACATGGCAATTGAATTTGTTTCTTTTATATGCTACCTTTGTTGGGGAAAAGTATTAGTTGTTATTGTTATATTCTACCCTTATTTTAAGAAAGCCTGCTAGCTGGAAGATGCTGTGACTTTCTCATTCATGGAACTCTAAGCTGCTCCTAAGTAAGGGACCAACTTTATACAGTTGTTAATCAGAATAAATTGTCAAAGTCACTATCCTAAGAGTTTCCTTCTTAGCAGTAGGATTCTTGGAGAAGTATTGTTTTCCACGAGTGGCATTAAAAATAATGTATCAATAATGGAAATGATGTTAATCATAGAATTAAAGAAATATGCATAAAAAAGAGGAGTGCTTGTGGCATATTGTGTTGATCGGAAATTGAAAGGAATTTTTTTAAACAGTTGTTAGACTAGCTTAAATTATAAAATATTGGACAGCTAAGGAACAACAATATATCATAAAATGAATGTGGCTGGGTTGAGATGGATGTGTGGCAAGACGAGAGGATAAATTAGAATGAACACATTCGTGAAGCACCTAAAACGGCACCATATGGAGATAAAATAAGATGAAATTGGTTATGGTCCTAGATGGAGCGGAATCACAAAACAGTATTCATTTGGTCGATCTCAAATTGCTGGGGAAAAAAATGCTCAGTTAACTATTGACATTTGCTTTTGTCTCATCTTCTTTTATTTTTCTTTAGTCAAAACGTCCTTGCTACTCATTCCTAAAGTGTTTATATATTGCCAAATCTCTAGTGTACTCGCAAAAAGATGAATATTGACAAATTTTAAATGAAATTAGTGAGATAACAGCAAATTGAAAAAAAGACCTCATCATAGATGCTACTGTCCCAATTATCAAATTGTCAGGTGTTATTTTATTATTTCATGAGGGGATGGGAAGGACAGGTCGTCTAATGCCAACATTTTCAGCAGCAGTTTCTCTCTCTCTCTCTAAACTGAGTTATTGATATGGCTGAAAAGAAGGTTGATTCATGATTTTCATGATGTAATTGATACCGCTCCAGTTTTTTGTTGCATTTAACATAAATATGTACCTGGTATAGTCCTGTGAGCAACACTTGAATGATTTTTAAAGGTGAACATTTCTATCATTAGTAAAATCAACTCTAGTTGCATCTTTTGAAGACACATCAAATTGTTGCTGTATAATATCATTTTGGGAAGAGAAATTTGCTCCACTTTGCATGTTCATATTCTCAATGATACATTTGGATTACCATATTCTGGTATCTTCCAAGAATATAATGTGGGTGTCATTGTGAAATGTTTTCCGGAAAAAAGGTCATGCATGACAGTTGATGTGGATTCTGGTGAATCACATGGAATCTGACTCAATGTCTCTTCTTTTTTCTTTCAAATATCTCCATCCATGAGGATGCATTTATAATCATTGAAGTAATAGAATGGACATGTATAAATCAAGTTACGACTGATTATTGTGTCCTGGTTCTCTTTTACCAAGACATGTGTCCTATTAAGTGCTTACAGATGGCTGATTCGTAATCATCTTCTTCCACTTTGTGATGGGGTTCTTAAAGTGTTCATTCTAAATGTTTCACCTGCCCTTCCAGGTCTATTATTATTATCCTTTCTCTGCTCTTTCTGATCCTGCCAAGCTTTACAATGATCTTCGATGGAACATAACAAGACCTCAAGGTTTTGAGGCTGTGATGCGTATAAGATGTAGTCAGGTTAGTTCCTTAATACTGAACTTTTTGTATCTTTGATCCACTTAAAAAATAATAATAGCTCTCTTTAATATCTTTTAGAATTGGAAAATACTTGTTAAGAATACATATTCCACTTTTATTTATTTAACATTTTTCTCTTTTTAGGGACTTCAAGTTCAAGAATACTTCGGAAACTTTTGTAAACGCATTCCAACAGATGTTGACCTACCCTCGGTTAGTACATCTTTTACGAGATACCAGCTCATTCATGTATTACTGAATGATGCTTTTTGGTGTTCTCTTCTGAATTGAATATTCTTAAACCATGGGAATAATAAACTAGTGAGGTGCTTGAAATTTGGTTCATTTCAAGAACATTTTAAATATTATCTGTGAGATACTGGCATTATATGATATAAACCATGCTATTTATACTTACTACAATATATTTTATGTTAAACGCCAGCCTCATTAAATATCTAATGCCATACTCTGTGGTTGACTGGAATATATGCTTGATTAAAGTTTTAGCCAAACTGGATGGCTATAGGCCTACATATCTTTGTTTTCGATAGATAGTAATGTGCTTTCTTTTTTTTTTTTTTTTTTTTTTTTGATAAGTAAAAGTCGATTAGAAAAGCGTTCAAAAGGGGAACGCGTCAGATAGTAATGTGCTTATATGTAAAAGAATTGTGTTACCAAATATTAGCAGCTTGAACAAAATGTCTGAAGTGAGTTATTGAGCAAGTTCCTGGTTTTTTCTGTTACTTTCCTGCCCAACCTAAGATAATGTGAGCAAATAGTGAGCTCTCTCTCTCTCTCTCTCTCTCTCTCTCTCAATATATATATATATATATTTCACTTGTATTTAAGTTGTTTTTGTTAAAAAAAAAATTTTTTTTTTAAAAAGGCTATCAATTGAATAAATTATGATTGGATGGTAGTTTTTAATTTTATTACTCAAGGATCAGGTTTGATATGATACCTGTGGATATGTTTGTGCCCCTTGTTTATATGCCATTGAGTTGTGCTCATCACCATTCTGGTATGGAGAAGTTCTGTTGTGCTATAGTATCACGCATTCAAGAAGTTTATAATTAAAAGTATTGCTATTTTCTTTCTTCAAAATTGTTTCAGGCGGGAAATCAGTAAGAAGAATAGTAAGGAATTTGATGAACAAACAGTGTAGATCAGAATCATCTGATTCAGTATGTTTAGTATGGCACTCACTTGTCATAATTGTGTAGTATATTATGGACACTTTATTTGAGAAATGCCATTTTTGTATTCGGTCTCTTCTCTTAATGTCGACCTTATGCAATACAATTGCTTTGTTATTGCTGTTTTACACTTGCTTTTTCTTTACACTTGTTTCCTATCCTTTTGCTACTGCAGGATGTTTGATTGGTATTTAATGGTTTTTGGTTCATTCATTGTACGAACTTTTTTCCCCTCCCTAATTAAACATTTCTTTTGAGCAGATCGACTGTGACAAAACTATTATGGTAACCTTGAAACATGACGATAAATTTCAGGATGGTTCAGAATGTGCTTTTCAGGTACATTCTTTTTTTTCTTGGTAATCTGTATGCAGTGCAGTTTGCAGATTTTATATCATCTTTCCTTCTTATAGTTGGGCTTCCTGAAAATATTCTGGTATTGAGAAAATGTCTGCTTTTAACCTTTCGGGTAATTTTTGCATTTTGATGTCCAGTGTGCTCTTCTATACACCACTGTGTTTGGCGAAAGAAGAATACGAGTTTCTACCTTATCGCTGCCATGCACAAGTTTGTTAAGTAGTCTATTCCGCTTGGCTGACTTGGACACCCAATTCGCTTGTTTCTTGAAGCAAGGTAATGTATTGTCTTACGTTATTATTGCTTTTGCTTTTGTCACTTCTGTCTGTATCATTTACATCCACCCTGTTTCTAATGATCTCTCTCACTTGCATCCACCGGCATTAAATTGTGAATGTATACCAAAAGTATCCACTGGCCAGTGGTTCTTCTTCTCCATTCGTAGCCTATCTTGCAATGGTTTGAGAGTTAATGGCGCCATTTCCCCCTTTTCTCAGAAAAGGATACTAATTATATATTTGGCCTTATCTGCAGCGGCAAGTGAAATTCCTTCGAGTCCACTGGTGCAAGTCAGGGAACAAGTGACAAATCTCTGCATCAACATCCTTCATTCATATCGCAAATTTTGTGCCACAGTATCATCATCTGGACAACTTATTCTTCCGGAGGCACTTAAACTTTTGCCTCTATACACCCTTGGTATGTTTCTTAGTGCTTGTGAAATTATGCTGAATTAACTGAGTGTAATAGTTATCCTAATTCTGTTTGTTATTCTTATTTTTTCTTCCCTTAGAATAGAGTCATATGAAGCTCCATTCATTTGTTAGCACCTACAGTGCACTTGAACATTTCTGGCGCCATAGAATATTATTCTTGTAATTCTGTGAATAATATATATATTTTCCTAGTTTATTTGTTATATGGAAGAGAACTGTAATTCATGAGCTAATTGCGTTTATTTTTTTGTGGGAGGATCAAATCCTTGATAATTACCTGGATTATCAGATGAACAGTAAATGTTCTACTTGTGGAACCTCTTCTAGTCTTGCCAAGAGAAATAATGGAAGAGAAAAGGAAAAGAATAAAAAAAGACATCTATTTTAAAGTGGATTGAATTATATAAAGTATGGTAAACAATGTGCTAAGTAGAGATGCTGAACCATGTGATATGATTATTTGGTGAGGCAAGATGACTATACGTTCAATTATTCAAATTACTTGAGTCCTTGATTGTTTATGTACGAGTAAGTGTTTAAGTGAATACTGTTGACTAGGTGATGTTAGATTAGGTTTTTCTGACAACTATATTTACATAATTCTTGTTGGTGGTTGGCGCTGCTTACTTATTATGGCATGTCTGTTTTGGGGGTAAGTTACTTAGGAAATATGTGACTACTTCTCAGAAGGGATTTTGAACATTGCTTGACAGTTTGTTTATATTTATTATATTTTTGTTTCTTTCCAGCATTGGTTAAAAGTACCGGACTACGAAGTGATGGGCGGATAGATGATAGGTCCTTTTGGATCAACTATGTATCTTCACTTTCTACTCCTTTAGCAATCCCATTGGTGTACCCCAGGATGATGGCTATTCATGACCTTAACTCAAAGGTGAATTACGTTGCACTAATGTCTCTACTGTTGTTCTTTTTAGTTGATGGGTAACACTTAATTCTTACTGCTGAGTTGACAGGAGCTGGATGAATCTGTAATACCGCCTGCTATTCCACTTTCCAGTGAGCACTTGATTGATGGCGGAATCTACCTTCTTGAGAATGGGGAGGATTGTTTAATTTATATTGGGAATTCTGCGGATCCCGATATCATGCGGCAACTATTTGGCATTTCCTCTGTTGATGAAATTCCCACTCAGGTGTTTTTATTTCTATTATTATTATTATTTATTTGTTTTCAAAGTCCATTTTGTCTTGATTAGCAATGGATCTTCACTTGTTCAAACGCACCTGAGTTTTAAACCCAATGTATTGAGCACCATATCATGACTCATGGCATGGTTGTTCATTTAGGATCTCCCACAAGTTGGGCCGTATATGATTTTGACATATGTTGAATAATGGACAACTTTGATTTATTCAATTTGAAATCTTTGTCTTGACTTTTTAGTTCCCTTTTTTTAAAAAAATTGTTTTCTTTGAGAGAGATTTTGTCAATGTAGAAGTATAAAATAATGGTCCTGATTGAGCATCTTATACATATGTTGCCCCAAGTGAACCACTTGTATCAGAATGCCTCTATTCGTCAATTTTCACACCAACAAAAAGCTACCAAAAGATTGAGACTTTGTTTCAAATCCTCTTTGATTTATAATGCTATAATACTTGGGATGATTTTTTATTATATGATTGGATGGTGAAAGATGAGAACTTTATTTAAATAATGTCATTATCAGCGTAATTCATTTGCTGGGATACTTTTCCTGTAATGAAATCTCTCAATTTCTAACTCTTCGCTATTTCTTTACTTTTCTGGTTGCCTCAGTTTGTACTGCAGCAATATGACAATTCTTCATCGAAGAAGCTAAATGAAGTCGTAAATGAGATAAGGCGCCAGAGATGTTCCTACCTACGGTATTACTGACAATGAATTTTAAACTCTTATCTTCCTTCAAGAAAAATTACTAGTGCTTTAGTAAAACATTCTTGAGAGTTCCATTATTAAATTGCTCTATCTAATTTTTAAAATATTTTATTTGTCATTTTTCTTGCAGCTTAAAATTATGCAAAAAGGAAGATCCGTCAGGTTAGTGAATCAGTATAATCCTTTTACACAAAAAGTTCAGAAGGCCGAACCATATATAAACTGCTGGACGGTCCCCTATATGATAAATGAACTGTAATATAATGACATCAGTTCTCCTTCACAAACTAATCTATCTAATAATCTCTTTCATTCAAAACAAAGCTCAACGGATATTTGGATGTCAAGTTGAAATTGGATCTTTCCATTTTGTTCCATGTATCATTTGAGATGAAAAGTTAGATAGCATTCTCTTTAACACTCATATATATATTATTCGATAAGTTCAAGTCTTGTCCACTATGTGTCCAGGCATGTTTAGGGAGTGTGTTGGGCATATATGTTTGGCTGCTCGTCTCTGTGCCACTTAGGTAATGGTGGAACAGTATTGTGTTACCCCCACAATCTGGTATATGGAATTCTGTATACAGTAATACGAGAATTGATATTTATTTATTTATAAATGCAATTCACCAGCATGAACGGATGTTTATCTAGAAATTCTGCGTTTATTTATTTATTTTATTTGTTTGATTTTTGTGTGTTGTTTTTATTTGCAGGGATGTCGTTCTTCTCTTATATGGTAGAAGACAAAACTCAAAATGGCCTCTCCTACATTGAGTTCTTAGTACATATCCATCGGCAGATTCAAAGTAAAATGCCTTGATCATAAACAATTTTGGCCTGATTTGCGAGTTCTTACAACCATTTTGTGAGGCAAATGGATAAAATTCAGATTTTTGGCTTTCACCGTAGGGGCCCCACTCACCAAAATTTTGGTGGAAAGCAAGATGAGCATAGTTTGTGTCTTAGTTTTTGCATAGTTATTATATTTTGACAGAGGTCAGGATGGTAATAATAAATATACAAAGCAAACTTTTATCTCTCTGCTTACATTACCATTTATTATTTTCCTCCTCATTATTTCTTTCTATTTTTCTTGTTTACTGTGGAAAGGGGAAAAAATTGTAGAAACAAGTTAGTTGATCAAATGGATGAAAGCTAGTGTTGAATTTCTCTCTCTCTAAATATATATATATATATATCAAGGGCTTGAGTCAACTTCAGATTCAACAGTTTATTCTCATTTTGTTTCTGATATGAAATTGAATATGTGATATTGACTATTTGGGAAGCAAAGCCGTACTTTTTTTAACTTAGTCAAGGGATTGAATTGGCTTCGGATGCATCGATTTATTCTCATTTTGTTTCTTTTATCAAATAATATATTTGTACATGTGATAACGACTGTAAGCTGTGTATTGATCGGTCTGATGTTTCTGATGTTTCCCAAAGTTTTGTAAGTATCCAAGTTTTGAGAAATGAAGGCTAGATCAGCATGTTAGAATTTGCTTTATGAAGATAAATCACACTCGGGAAGTAGTAAGTGAAGGAATTAGGTTTGCTAAGGCTAGATTGTTTGGACCACCTTCGAGCTCCGTTGTATCTTGTGGGAGGTTTCGATTATCTTGTAGAAGTCGTCCAGTTCAAGTTTGGTTGAATCTAAGAAATAGAGCTATCATTGTCCCTTGTACCTTGCGGGTGGCTTTGATTATTACGCACTTTTAAGCGGTGGATTGATTTATTAATTTTAGTCATACTTGGAAGTGCAAGTAACTATTTATCTAAAACTTTTGTGCAGGAGGCACTGACAGATTAACAAACTGGGCGAGTTACAGATGCATAATCTCATATTGTCGTTGTGAATAAGAGAAGTGTTACATATATATATTTGATTTGTACACTCCAATCGACACGAGGCCTTTTGGAGTAAAGCCCAAGAATAAACCTGTGCGGGCTCGGGCTTGTGGACAATATCATAGTTTAAATCATTACAAATAGTATCAGAACTTAAATCATTACAAATGGTATTAGAACCTGATTTAGCCGGGAGCGCCTTGTAAGTGCCAGACTAGGATTAAAACACTAGATCGTTTTTCTTTCAATGAGAGTTTATTCGTTAAAGATTAGTGTAACAATTTTAATAAAGAAAAACATAGAAGGGCAACACTAGAGCAGTGGAGATATGTAAGCCTCCCACCTTTAACATGAGAAATTTTGCTAAAATAATGGGATATTTTTTGGCCTGACACGAGTCCGTTACACGAGGCTCTATCAATTTGGTCATTTGAATAATACGCACAATTAAAATAATAGAATGATAAGCAGAATACTTATTAGACTTCTTGGGAAACTAGGAAAGAAAGGCTTGAGAATGCAATAAATGAATGAAATAGGATATTATGGAATTGAGATTTGCAAAAGTTCATTACACGAGCTCATAGCATCGAAGGTAGGTCATCAGACGCATCTCATATTAATCAATCCAACCTGGAATACAATATTTACACAATTGTTTATTTACTTTCATTTGATTAGTTTGTAAATTTTTTAAAATAAAAGTTTAGAAACTAAAAATGCAATCTCTGAGTAGAGTTAAAAAAGATTGCATAATTTTCCTATTTGTGTTTAAACAATTCAAAATACTACAACCTTTTTAGAACAGATTTAAGTGTGTTTAACAATTATTTGAAACACATCTTTTGAGAAAAAAAATTTATTTGGAACACTTCTTTTTATATTAGTTCTGCGCAAGAGTTCAATGAGACGGATATGTAATATTTTCCGTGATTGTGTTCGTGATGACAAGTAATTCAAAATACTATAATTTCTTTAAGTTTTAATTTTTTTTTTTTTTTTAAATTTTTTTCAGAGCAAGTTCAGGTCAAAAACCAATTATTTGAGACATCTCTTTTTATACTATTATAAAAGGACAATACTTGCTTTCTCACTGGTGAGTAGGACAATACTTGTAAATTCGATTCACATGGTTTGATAGATGATTTGTTGATTGTAGGATATATTCTTATTGTTTATTTATTGTCTTTTTTTTTTTTCTTTTGGTGAAAAATAAATATTTATATATCAATTACATTTATAGTTCTTCTTTCTATTCATTATCCACACCTTTGCTTGTATTTTGTAATAATATTTTATTTAAAAATTTTAGCTTAAAATATTTTTCGGACTAGATCCCCTTCTCATTCACTCCCTAGACAAAAAGAGAAAACCAAAGTTGCAGAGAGGGAGAGAGAGTTAGATTTGAATCATATTGGGTTTAATCTGAATAACCTCTCAAATATTTTAAATTTTATTATTTTATATTATAGGGATACGTGTTCCACTAATTTTGCATCACATCAAAATAAGTATGAACTTTTTAGTCTATCAATGAGTAAACAAATATTGTCCATTATAAAAACCCAAGGGACAAGGACTGAATTGGATGGATATGCAAAAAAAATAGTTCAAAATACTGCAATTATTTTTTAGAAAATTTTTAGGTCAGGCAATTATTCGAAATACCTTGTTTTACACTGCTTCAAAAACTCAAGGGACAAGGATTCAATCGAATGGACGTGTAATATATTTTCTGATGGTGTCTGTCAAAAAAACTAATTCAAAATAGTACATCTTTAGAACATGTTCAGGTTAAAAAATAATTATTTGAAGCATCTCTTTTTAGGTTTGTTTTTTTGTTGACATCAAAACTTGGCAGATTACCACCAATGATAGGGGGATAAATATTTTTAAGATGCTAACAGACTAACATCTTTGGCAGTCAGATAAAAAATTTTTTTGTGTAAAATATATATTGTCATGTATGATGTGTAGTTTTTTTTTTTTTTTTTTTTTTTTTTTTTTTTTTTTTCAACATTCTATTAAGATATACTGTCTCATCACCAATGTATAAAATTATTATATATTTTACACAACTTTTTTATACAACCATATCTGCAGCATATTTCTTTTCTCCTCTTTATTTGTCATTCCATTAACGAATCAACCCTCTATTAAGTAGGTTTGTAAAAATTATGTGGGGTCCAGGTATGATACTGGTTGATTATTATTGGGAGATATATTTTTATACAAAAGGTATAAAACAACCGCTTGAGCTAAAAATAATTAATCAGATTTACACAAAAAATTAAAAAAAAATACATTAAAGCATGTCCAACCATTGTGCATATTTTAATTATTTCCATTTGGCCAATCCATTAGAACATCTCCGACCGTTGTTTATATATATATATATTTTTGTGTAAATCTGATTTGTTGATTATTTATTTTTAGCTGGAGGGATTAAGAAGACTAGCAAAGAGTGTGTTACCTGTGGTGAGTGCCATCCTGTGGGGGCCGCCTATTGCTATTCCCACATGGACCCTTTTCATGGCAATTCTGCCAGCTAGCTAGCAATATGGCCTCCTATACCGGATCGCCTAATAACTAAATTCCTACAAATTAAGAAGTTTAGTTGGGTTATGAAAGGGAAGACCCATGTGGCATACAAAGGATTCAGTATAAGGGTGCACATGGTCGGTTTGGACCGATTTGAGAGTTTTTTAGAACCAAATCATTCTTAACGGTTTCAGAAAATTTATAACCAAACTAAATCATTTGACCAAAGGAATCGAGCCAAATCAAATCATGAAACACTGGTTCGGTTCGGTTCCACGGTTCCCTTTTTTTTTTTTTTTTTTTTTTTTTCCTATTACATAAATATTCATATTTCAAAATCCAAATGCACAACAATAAACCAAGTTAACCAATACATTTAGAACTGCTAATACATTCACTTCTAGAACATAAATTAATACATTCAAAATTGCTAATATATTCATTCTTCTCTGTCAGTTCTGGAACTGAAGTGAATTAGTGAACACATTCAGAACTACTAATAGCCTAATACATTTAGAACTACTAATTCAATAACAAACACCACAATTTAGAAAACCAACAGCATTCAGCTACTATAGAATCATATAATGTGTATAATTTAATATGGTTCGGTTTCGCCCGATTCGGTCTTAAAGGACCTCAAACCGTGTTTTTACGATTCTACAAATTTGGAATGGTGACCGAACCAAACCGTTAGTAAACCGAACTAATAAGTGCTGAAATGTGATGCATTTTAGCATCTAAGTTAGGGTATTTTAGTCAATTCATCTATCTTACTTTCACGTCTTAGTACTTAGTTGTGTTTTTGCTTATTTTAGGTCAATAAAGTTCAAATAGGCTAACAAGAGCCATTTAGCTTGATTTAGGAGCTAAGGAGCAAAGTTGGAAAGAAGCTAAGAAAATTGCACCAGAGGAACTTCGATCGATCGAAGGGAATTCCGATCGATCGGAGTTGTCTACAATTAATCGAAATAAGGCGGTGCCAGCTCAGCAAAGTGGATAAGGCCCAGAAGATATTTTTGATGCCATGTCAGCTTCGATCGATCGAAGATAAGTGTTTGGTCGATCAAAGATCTTCGATCGATCGGACTACCTACTGGCAGTATGCTATCTAATTCCCGAGCGCACCGAACTTCACATAACTTAAGTAGCTTTGAATTTCCTCCCATTATAGGCTATATTTCTAACTTGGTGCCTATTCAAAGAGGCTTGTAATGAATTAATTGAACAACTTTCATTTTATCTTGTATCATTCATAGGAGTAGATATTTTTCCTCTTTAGAACTAGGGTTTTGGGAAAAAAAGTAAGGATGAAGATGATGATACCAACCTCCAAGCTAGCCCTTGAGGGTTATATGACTATTACAATGAGTGGCTAAATTCTTCACTTGGGACTAGAGATAACCCCTAGGCTTGCTTTCTAAACCTAGCTTTTGTATATTTTTGGGAATTTTAGTTGTAACAAATGTTTTGACCTTGAATAAATATAGATCTTGTGATTTTTACTTGATTTGTATGGATTAATGCTTTCAATTGATCATTTAGTTCTATCCATATGTCTATGTATGCTAGAATGAATGCTCAAGTGTTTTACTCTAGATTTAATGAAATTAATGCATGTTTATGTGTATTGATGTTGTTAATCTAGTGATGGTCAAAGTATAGTGCTTAATTGAATACTCTTGTGATTTATTTGATGGTTCACACTTGTTTCTTGATGGATTGTACCACACCTTTAGTCTATTTAGTTTAATTTTCATGTCACTAGCCTAGT